TCATTTGAACATATCGGTCACTCTTTTAGTCTTCATGTAATACAAAAGACAAGTAAGCACCTCATCTGCATTTTTACTAACCAAAGCACTTCCTTCTTTCCTTATCGGTTTAAAAGTTTAATTAGTAGACAGCAGCTTTAACTTTCCCAAGACAGCCAAATGAACCAGAGGCCCTGAAGATGATGGGTTGAAAGTCAAACAAAAAGAAGGAGACGGCAGCAGGGGCTGCCGAGGCTCACCCGCTGAAACCAAACAATGCTCTTCCTGTTCTGTGGAGTCTGGGTGGAGTTTTTGGCTACTACTCTGTTTGGAGAGACATGAGCAGGGCTCAGACACAGAGCAGCCAGAGGCAGCGAAACGCACTCCCTCCTGCTTACGTACAACACAGTTGTTCCGTTTGACCTGCTCACTGACCTGTTCCTTGGTGGCAGCGATACTCGGAGCCTAAATAGGAACAACTTGACATATTGGCAGAGGGAAATTATGCATGAAAACGCCCCATACATAAGGACAATCGGGACACCTGCGCCTAATGCACTGCCGGTACAAGCTAATGGCTCCTAATGATGGCAAAATCTGAAGAGGATGTTTAGATAGTTGCCAGGAGTAACAGTTGTTGAGGTTTATTTCAACCAAATCCAACAGAATTGGTAGGTCAGGGACATTATTTTAACAAAGGTGTGAAACACCTCTCTGGATCGTGGAGTCAGGGCTTCAAAGCTGTTAAACCAGGAAGTGAGCTCAAGCTGTATCAGCCTATTATACATTATATGCTTTTGTGCCTGATATAACATGATATAACATAATCCCCTACGAAGTGTATCACTCTTGTTTAGTCAGGGTTAAAGCTGCCTTTCCCCAATTCTTTCCAAAATCGACTGACTCTGTTGGCATACGACTGAGTTTGAATTCTTTAAAAAAGGTTTCAACGGTTCAACTGAAAAAAAGACTTTTAAACGTTAACAGATTTGATGAGCCGTGTTAAATGCCCTAAGCTGAAATGGATGAAGTAGCAAAGCAGAAATGAGACGCTGTACAACCCTGTTTAGCTACTGGAATAGTCCCTAGTTCCTGGTTCCTGTAATGAAGTCCAAAAAACAAAAGACAGGATGGACCCGCATAAGAGTTTAATTCCTGGAAAAGATTCCCGGAGAATATGGCTGAAGTCGGTCGTCTAAATCCAATCTGTTCATAACTACTCAACCCCAACATAAATAAGGAAACATTTCATTCCAGTTTTCCACATGTTGACAGGAGCCTGATCTCTCCTTCATTCTATCAAAACAAGTGAGGGAGCATCACTCATCCATCCAGTTTCGCCTGGCTGCACTTTGATGATTCTAAGAAAACACAACTCAGTTCAGGGTGCGGGCATTTTCATTTAACTGTCATTCTCACTGAAAGTTTATCTGGTGGGAGATGTGCTAAAACCTGTTCATAAAGCCATTACAGACATTGAGTGGCTGAAAAGCAGGTCTACAGGTGAAAAAACAAGAACATTCTGGCATGTGACCAAGTCAAGAGGCAGAGAACTCAAATACAGGTCCAAAACTAATACATTTCTGTAAAGGAACATTTATGGTCAAATTCTTCATTCCTAATGTTATTGAAAGGTCATTAATGGCTTAAACAGTTGCTTCTAGTCTCTTTAGATTGTGCTCATCCATGAAGATTTTGAAATCTCCCATCTAAAGCATCCCTTTATTTTTTCTCACAACTGAACACTGTTACCTCCTAAAGCCTGATTCAAGTAAAAAAATAGATTTTTGGGGGGGGTTGAAGTCTGTATTTGGTCCTATGACAAAATATTTAAAAAAAAACATTTTCAAAATATAGTCAAATAGTTGAAATGATTGTCATGTAGTCCTTTGCCCACTGTAAATCTGACTGTGTGCAACAGGGTTTTGAACAAAGTTTTTACTATCAAATGAAGCAAAAGGTCTCGAGCGCAAAATATTTCAGAAAGCATGTGTATCAAATATGATACATGTGGCATTATAGGGTTAAAAGGAAATGTGTCACTGATGGCAGCAGCCTCTTTGCCCAAAACAGGACACACTGGAAGAGCAGCTAATGAATGGTTTACTGGAAGTCACAAAAAGCTCAAGGGGATGCAAGATAATAAATTCAGGCCACCTCCACACACACACACAGACACACGCACATCACACACAGATATAAATATATATAAATGAGAAAGAGCAAAACATAAAATATTCAAATGTGAGAGTTCTCAGGGATCAAAATGTTACATTGGAATGGAAAGAAAAGCAGAGCACCATTACTTCCTACCACCATTCACCCATGTCCCGAGTTAATGAACGCACCAAATCTCTCTCCGCTTTTCTAAGGAGGTTTCCTGAGGCTTAGGGGCCACCAGGAGTTATGCAACAAGCTGAGCAGAGTTAGCAAAGAGCAGAGCGTGACCCCGACTGATGAGGTGAGCTGCCTTTCAGTCCTCATGCGAGTTTAATGTCAACAACAATGTTAAGCGAAGACAAACATCCAGCTAATACCAGGCCTGTTGTTCCTGAGATGCTGACTTTGTTGTTCTGCTTTCCTGCAAACATGTGACAGGAAATGAGTTCAAGCAGGACCTTTTGGTTGGACCAACAGGCTTTTCAGGACTCTGCCTCTGTCTTTGACATACCACACCATCAACAAAAGGCTCAGAGTTTAAAGGGTTTTTCTCAAGTTACGTTGTGTGAAAGTATTATAACCGGCATAGAAATAGCTGGAAGTCAAATGGACTCTAAATATACAAGAGAGACAGTTTTAGAGGAATATCTTCCAGCAGTTGTGTTACTGCAATTAGCCAACTTGAGATTTTCCACATGCTAAAGGTCTATTATTGTTTTTGTAAAAGGGAGAATCGTTCAGATTTTAAAGACAATAAAAAACTAACCACACCTCAGCTAGTCAGACTGAGACAAAGGCCAAAGTTTAGAAACTTACAAAGACTGGGAATGAAAGATGCCTCCTTCACCCGAGCCCAGAAGAATCTTATCAAACACAAATCTGATAGGCGGCACCAGACGGCCCATCGCTTTAGGGCTCATACATCTGCTGACAATAGAACTTATCTCGCAGAGGAACCTCATCCTCAACTCCGACCACATATTTCTGGATCAGAAGAAGAGGAGTTGCCTGGCTTTTTCTGCTCTTGTGCCCCAAAAAAATTGGAGGACAGTAGAGCAGAGGTGTGTGTTACACAAGGGCGAGAGCACACGGCGAGAAATGGGGTCGGTTTGTTACCAACACGTCACTGAGTCATCATTACTGCTGCACTCACGGAAATGATCAAACGTGTCAACAGCCACCTCCGGGAATCAAATAAAGTCTGTACTTTCACCAGGGCGCAGAACAGAATATTAAAGGGAAAGGAACAGTTAGGAGCCTCAGGGAAATGGCCGCATACGTCACTCTTAATGTTTGATTTATATATATATAGTTTAAACAAACGCATTGAGCTCACGGGTGTTGGCAGGCGGGTTGCTGGAACTGTACCAACTGTTTGCATGCAGTCATAATTACCGGACGGGCTTCCTTCTATTCTTCCCCTCTGACTAGCAAGTAAGCAAGCGTGTTTTTCCAAAAAAGGCCACCTTGTTTCCCCTTGAAGCCGACAATGAGCGAGACCCCTTTCAGATGCTCAGCTCAGCTTCAAGGCCGCTTCGCAGAAGCCGTGATTTTTAAAAATAACATTTGAGGAAGACACACTCCTGCCGGTGCCTGCTGAAAGGAAGTAGGACAGGACAAGGGCGTTAAGTCGGCCAGTGGTATCCGGGGCAGGATGACCAGGCACCAAGGCAGAGGACACACCGCGTGGCTCCGGGAGAAGCTAGTTAAGAGGATCCTGCCAGGTTTTTGTGGCCCCCAGACATCCGAGTATCAGCTAGTCCAATTACAGAGCATTTTCACTATCGGATAAGCTCCAGCGCGTTTCTTTTTCTCTGGTTGGTCATCGATTGTTTGGCCTGTGGTTTTAGAAAATAAAGTAATGGTCCTTTGTTGTTCCCCTGACTGTAAGCGAACAAGAAACAAGTCAATCGACGTATAAACATCCAAATGCAAGTTTGGCCCCAGCATGGATAATAAAAGGCGTTTTATTTATTTATTTTTCGTAGCTCTGAGCTGTTCCATAATGTCACTTCACAGAGTATGAAAAGAGGCATGGGTCCACCGAATAAAGAGTGGAAAAACTCTTAAACAAATGGGCATTTAACGATCAGGTGGGTCTCATTCCACAAAAAAAAGTCAAACATTAAGTTTCCTTGCTCATAAAATCACAAACATCTTTTCATGTCGAACTGTAATGGGACACACACACACACCACCAATGAGTGATAGAGACAACTACTGACCTCCTGGGATGTTTGATCAGTTTTTAGTAAAACTGATCTGTCCTTAAAGGACTCTACAGTTCCAGCTTCAAGCCTTTTATGTCTCAGTGAAAATTAAATGGAGATAGAACATTTCTAACAGCTTTAAAGGAAAGGACGTCTATCTGACCAAGAGAATAACCGGATTTGGTTTCATGACAAAGATTCGACAAAGAGTAAACGATTTAAAACAAACACTTATCTTTAAGAGACATTAAGAAGCAGTTCGATTAATTGAATTATCTCTACATGGAACCTGTAGGTGTCATTTTAAAATGATTTTGATGCGTTAGAGGGGGGAGGTTGAGGGGGGGGAAAAAGACTCCACCAGCTTGAAATGAAAGCCTTAAGAAGTCAATTAAATGTTCCCAGGACAAGAAATGGCTCATTAGGGGATTTGGACATTTGCCACGAGGAGTGCGTTATTGAGGTCGCCGCACTTGGACAGACTGTCCACACCGCCGCCGTCACTTCCTAACGGCCAACGACGCAAAAATAAATATCAACAGTTGAACTTAAACACGGCCAGCTGACCACTGAGTGTACTTTACAAAACAGAACAGCGACACAACTCTAAGCCGAGCAAGAAAAAAGGAGGTTGCCAACACCTCGTTCTTCACCCCACCACCACCCCCACCCCAAACTATAAGAAGCTGGAATTAGTGTCAATTTAGAGCCGCATAGTTACCTGCCACCAGCCGGGTCCTTTACAGATATCTTTATCCTCCGCTCGGGGCTTTTTTTCCCCGCTTGCGTCTTTCCTTTGCCCGTGACACACACAGCCAACACACACACGGACGCACTCTCACAGACTTCTTGCTGCAGTGTTCGCTAATTCTTTTTTTTTACACAGCGAGCGCGGAGACGCGGAGGCGAGCGGAGGTCCTCCCACCGACGGCAGCGACGCCAAGCTGGGCCGGAGGCGAGCCACTTCCGGGAGAGCCTTTCACACGCGCGTGCCACTCCCAGGCGCGTTCGCTTCTTTCAACCGTTGCCCGCGTGGAACACCGGGAAACTGTAGGAACTTGGACTATTTTTTTTTATATTTGTTTAAAAAAAAACTTTCAAAAAAACTTTTCAAACTTCTGTATTTTTTATGGCAGCTGGAAATGATAATAGATAAAGATAGATAGATAGATAGATAGATAGATAGATAGATAGATAGATAGATAGATAGATAGATAGATAGATAGATAGATAGATAGATAGATAGATGGATAGATATTTTTTATTTTATTTTTTTAATTATTATTATTTATTTTTTAAATTTCATTTGACTTGTGACGAAGTTCGAATGTTTTATTTTGAGGATAAAGCCTGCACTTCCGGTATTTCAGTGGCTGTAGCCTGTTAGCTTGATGCAGGGGCTGCAGGCGCTGTTGGAGTCAGTCCGGTCCCCCTCCCTCCCCGATCAAAGATGACATCATCCGTAGTACAAGAACACTCGTGCAACAGGAGGGATGGGTGTGGATCACAGCAGTGTGCGTGTGTTTTTTGGAGTGTTTTTTTTTTTTTACAAATAAAACCCCCGTCGTTCACTCGTTAAAGGTGTGTCCCTTCTTCATATCGACCTGCCACATGTCAGAAATGTGTCACTGTGTGATACGACTGCACTTAGAGCCCAAGAAAGGTGAGCAACCAAATAATGATGACAAATCCAAACCACCCCATGAACCGTGGGCCACAGTGACCTGCCATGTCAGCTGAACCATGCTGGTTTTGATTTTTCCCAGCATCTAATTGCTGTTGACTCATATGAATAAGCAATGTTGGCCATTCGCTGCTTGTACTCATCAAATTTATTGGCTCGTTTATATGGGCCGAAATCCAAAATAACCACTCATTGCCTTGTGGTGGAAATGGCCTGGGAAAGAAAAAGGAATGAAGACATTTACTCTTATCATTTTGGTTGAAGGCTGAGGAGAAGGTCACTCGCAGTCGTCAGCACTGCAAAGCCACCCTAAAAAAAAGGATTTAAGAATAATTCAATACAGAGTCTGGATATAATACACGGCAGGTAATGCTGTAGGAACTATTGGAAGCAATGTCCAATGTCCGGTCATTTTCCAGATACCAGTGGAACAGAAAAAAAAAGCTTGTGTGGCATGAGCATGGAGTGTGTTTGCACTCACTCTGATGAGGAGGCTTTGAAAGGTATCTCTTATGTTTAATGCCAGAAATCTTCATGTCTTTATTCAGTGCAGTCCTCCATCGTCCTTTTTTGTGCATTTGGTTGACTGAGACACGAGCACTTCAGTTTTGGCAAAGGCAGTGAAACTGCTTTTATTCGTCTGTGTGCTTACTATGGAAAAAGAAACCAGTGGACAAACAGCCTCGAACTGGGTTAATTGTCATTATAAAAGCTTGTGTCTATGACAAGTGGAATAGCAAAGGAGCCCTTTAAGACGGGTGTCAGAGGATTGGAGCAGGTGGACAGGCGGGCTGTGCAGAGCCGAATGTTGTCTGAGGACGCGCAATGAATACAAACTGACAATCTGGGGAGGAGTAGAGCGCAAAGAATACAGCAAAGGGTAGTTGAGTGATGTATCTCAGGTGTGCAAGTGAGGTAAAAAGAGCCAAACCCTGATGATACACAAGATAGCCTCACACACACACACACACACACACACACAGGACAAAACACAGGGAAGGAGGGAACAAGAATGCACAAAGAAAGAAACAACAATATCCCATTTTAATATAGACTGAACAGAGAAAAATGTCAAAGAAATATTCTAATATTCATCTAAAAATACATTTCTCTTGTTTTCAAATGTTAACTTGAAAGAAGAAAACTACTTTGGTCCTTATGAACACGATGCCAAGAAGTGCAGAGAGAAATTTTTTGGAAATTGGAAGTTTTTATTGACGACGCTAAGAGATTGCAAACCACGAATTTCCTTATTCCTCGCATGCAAACAGCATGAATGCTGCCTTTAACAGCTCTGACTCAGTTGTTTCTACGTGCACTAAAGGTTCAATATCTTAGGACAAATTGAGGGGTTTGACTCAAAGAAGGAATAAAGACCATCAAAACAAGTGGGAAAAAGCTGTTTTATTTTTCTAAACTGGTACACATCATCCTTCCACCACACATCTGGTAGCTCAGATTCTGGGACTCACCGACTTTTATGGATAGAAACATAAAAATAAACATCTGTCAACCAAAGTGATCATTAAAAATATATGGATAATCTAAAGAACAACATGTTATAACAAAAAAAAAATGGTACAAAAGAGGTATGAGGTACATTTAAGGGCGTACAATGTTTTTTGCCTCTAACTAGAATCAGATTTAGTGCATTGGAAGAGAGAAACTCTTGAGTCCCTTTCATGTTTCAATAAGGCATATGTGTGAAGCTTTTCACATCTTACTATACGGAGACTTTTATGGAGAACAAATGAACTTCTCCTCTGAGGGTTCGTCAAAGAAAACGTACTGCTTCTTTTTATTTTCTTTGCCGACGTTTTGTCAAGCCCTCTCGTCTCTTGAATCTAATGAGAAACAAGTCATTTACAGTATGAGCACATTCAATTAAAAGATAATGCAAATCAAAAGGCTACCGTAGAGCATGTGCAACATTCTTCAAGTGCATCAGGTGGAGTCTTTCATTCATTATTCAAAAGGAGATACTGCAACACAGACTGAACTGCCTCTGTTTGGGCCATGCTCCTCTGATGTACAGAGATAATACCCAATCATTTTATTGTAACTTTGTGTTTTATTGTAACTGATTTGATTTCGATCCTCCTGCTCAGCATCTCTTTGGTTTCCTAACATTCCTAACCACAACCCCCTTTACTGTATTTGCCTGAAGTTTTTTTTTTTTTTTAAATGAATCCTTTTTTTTCTTTTTTTTGACAAAAGGGACGGAAGGATTTGGGCATGATATTAAAATCAATAAGCATTTCAAAAGTTGAGAAAACAGCCAGTCTTGGACCTGAACGAGAGAGAAATATACTAAAAGGATACCTTGCAATTTTTCACAAACAGAGGGTTCAGGAAGAAAGGTTTTTTATCACCTCTGAAGAAGTCAACGAGCATTTTATTGTTGGATGATTAGAACGGATCAATGAAAAATGGGAGACTAATTCCAAGTTAAGCTGAAGTGAAGAAACTGGGTCTGATTTAAGAGAGTTGATGAAGGTGCTGCTCAGACCAGTGTCTTCTCTACGACTAAGATGTTTTCCTCTCCCACCACCACATCTGTCCAGGGTTCAGGTTGCTCGGAGGGGCCGTGGGAAGGATCCTGAAGAGTCGGCCCCGACACATCGGCAGCTACAATTTAGACTGGTCAAGTCTCTGACTCGTGTCCTGCCAGTGGGACGACAAAGACGGTGATGTCGTCTCCAGAGCCCAGCTTCTCGTTGGGTAGCCGCCAGCCGCGCTCCTTCAGCACACCTCGTGACCTCATGAGCAGGTCCTGTGCTGCCAGAGTGTACCTGAACGCCCACAGAGAGCATAAACAGTCCATCCACTCATGAAACGCATTCCATATTTAAGGACAACACAATACCAACAGACACGGTCACATTTAATATATCTGACAAAAAAAATACTCATCCTGCGTTAAAATAAAAGCAAAAAATGTAGCATTATTCTGTCCGAAACTTAAAAGGGATGTTTATGTGTGTTTATGTTTATGTGTTTGGGATGTGTTTGGTTCCAAAATAAAAAGTCTTTTTCTCATTATTTTCCAATGTAAAATTAGCCGTGAACATAAAGCCCAGACTTCACCATGATATACCTCAAGTGAGCTGGAAATGTCTATTTAAACACATTGTTTTAATAATTGTAGATTGTTAAATTGGTTATTATATTGCTCTCAATGTTCTAAATTCAGATCAAATAGAACCTCTCAGACCTTAATAGGCACTGTGAGCTGTAGAAATAAAGTTCTACAGCTCTGAGCTGTAAAAAAAAAGTGCTATGTGTCTTAAAGCTCATATATCTTTATATTTTGTTATAATACAATGTTATTCAGTCGTTACATGTAATAACATAGCTTTTCCCAGCCATGACAAAACAGAATTTTGCAGTTTTAGTACTCATTTGTTACCACCTAGTGGACAAATTTTGATAAAACACCACTAAGGATAACTCGGACAGAGTCTGCTTGAATAGTCAAAATAGGATCTGCTATTGCATTTTCCTCTGTTCTGTTCCTTTACCCTAATGAAAAAAAAAATCAAAGATAAAATTGGATAGAGAAAAAGGCGGCAGCAGAAATGAATGAGGACTCAGGAAAGGTGACCACGCAGCAATGAGAATCCAACCACACAGAATACCAACAAAAGCCATATGTTTGTCATGTTTTTGATGAGTCATTTTGTGGCTTTTCCTGAACGCGACTGTGAATGACGGACAATACCCCGACAATGCGGACCTGAAATAATGGATTGTTAGATGACTGTACCTCATTGGATCAGACGGGTCACAGCATGTTAAGAATGCTGACACGGCATCCGCCACTTCCTTGTCTGTGGTGACGTCCCACAGGCCATCTGTGCCCATGACTAAAACATCGTCAGGACCGTGTTTGTGTTCGTCCATGTTATAGACCTTCACCTGTGTGGGACAAACAGATTTTGTAGCTTTTACATTTATAAAGCATTGACAAGAAAGCTGGCAGAAAACATTTGTGCTTTTTCTCTTACGAGGATTAACAAAAAGTGTGCGAGCAGTGCACTGAACATAACAAAACTACTAATTCTAAATGGTATTTTTAGGATTAAAGTGGAGTCGCGTCCTCTCAGTGAATTTGAACAAGCATGATACAATTAGGCAAATTACAAACACAAGAAACAGAGGGCAGATGGTTTTAAGGTTGAGCTGAGAGCTATTTGAGCAGTAAATGAGAGCAAGCAGAACGAGGTCTATTTAAGTTAGTTGTTGTTGTAGTAAAGCTCAATATGCTGAAAAATAGAAAAATTAAAGTTAAAAATAACTGAAAAGTGAATGAGTCACAAATGGTCAGTATGCAAACATAGCACGAACAATACACTCCACAACAAAGAGCTGAGTTTGGTGGACTTTACTGGTGGATTTGTCCTTAGAAAATATTCCTGTTGCATCAAATTTGTAAACAAATCTTTGTTTGTAAAATGTATTTCATCTCCCATGTGTCAGTTTTTGGCTCAGCAATGACAAAAAACATTGACATTCTTAATGCAGTCTTTGAGATGTACTTTTACAGGGCTGATGTAGCAATTAGGGGATAGTTGAAAGGTCATTGGTCAGGTGATAGGGGCTGACCAATCAGTGCAGACTGACTTTATGGTGAGAGACTGGCCTCCCTTCTATTTTCCCATTTCCCAAATCATACGGGCTCAATTCTCCAACTTGACTGCTCTTCTCATGTCTCGGTTCCTCCAGGTAGAGGTACAAATGGAGAAGTTGTGAACACACAGGAGGAGAGGGGAGACGAGGTGACAGTTTTTAATGAAACAAGATTGCTTTAGAGTATAATTTTACACCTATTTCAGCAAAAAACATGTGACCTAACTGCTAATTGCAAGGTGGGCATTTATTCTGTGGCTGAATTAATACATTTACTCTTAATTTGTGTGTGTATGTCTCGTCATTTCTATAGAGGACACACAGAGCAGTATCAATTATAGCTCCTAAGAGAAGCTCCTCTCTTTGATACGCTCTCCTCCTAATGCCTATATTTATATAACATACCATCTTTCAGGATGTCATATTCACGCCTAGCACCCATCAAAATATTACTGAAGACTGAATATATAACAAATGGAACAATTCTATGAGGCACAACTAGGAGAGAAAGAAGTCACTCTCCCTCAGCATGGTCTTCTTTATTATGAAAACCAGGCCAGCCACGTCTGATGGTATCTTACAACTAACTAACTACAAAAAAAAACAGATTACAGATGTTAAATAAGATTCCTGTAATACGTCTAATATGGTTTCCACTAAAACAAGATACTAAACCCGGAGCACACAGTCTGGTGTACAAGACTCCATCAGCCTTAAAGCCAATGAAGGACTCCGAACTGCACATCCTGTCACATACTTCATTTAATAAATATTTTTCACATATTTTTCACATATAAAAAAATAAAGGTCTGGAGAGAATTTTCAGGCCATGTTGAATAATATTAAGATTAATAACACTGTTTGATTCAAAAGAAGATGGAGAAGAAGCTCAAAATGGCAAGGAATCTGTTCTTTGAGGCAGTTCTGCCTCCTCACACTCACCTCAGGGACACATGAAAGGAAGGGCTTGATGTAGATGTTGGAGTTGTAGACCTTCAGGTCATGATCTCCCAACCCGCGGGTCACTCCGATTGTTGCCATGACACGAGCCTGCATACACCAATACACAAACACACAGTCAGAACGAACGCATGAACGAATCCTGAATTCCGGTTCCAGGATACGATTAAATTCCTAGAAAATCCACTTATTCCGGATTATTAATAGGAGATTGTGTTCTCTCTGGGAATAATAAAAAAGGTCTAATTTCTGGCATTATGAAAACTCTCCAGAAATTAAACTGAGATTATCAGAATAATCTTCCAACGCAGATTGTAACATCTTACATTTTTTCGTGCGGATACATAATTACATTATCATTACATCACCCTTGTATAGCCTACTTTAATTAAAAAAAGCTTACATTCATTTACTTAAAATGATTTTTTTTCTCACCTTCTTGCCCTCTCCATATATGAGGGGGAATTTCAGATCATCCTCGATGATTGTTTTGTAAGCCCTGAAGCAACAAAACAGAATTGAAATTGAATGTCCACAGAATAGTTCAAGTACAGGTGACACATTTAATCAATTAATTGATTAGAAAATCAACATGAGGTCATAACTGTCTTTTTTTCCCAAAGCAAAAAGAATCTTAAACAAATTTGATCACAAAAAAAAACAAAGTGGTTGCTGCTTCTGACTATTGTGTGTCATTATAACAGGATTTTGATTTTGCCATTGGGCAAAAAAGAAGAACTAACCCTTTGACTGAATTCCTAATGCTTACAATGCTTAGTTGTTATCTCTAAAAAAGTATTCCAGGAACTTTTTTGAACACTGGTGAGATTCCGAGTTCAAAGCAAATCTGATTATCTGTCAGAAATTTGATTAACAAAGTTTACCAGCCAGTCATGGTGTGGTCTCTGTAGAGCATCTTTTTCCCCAGCTCGCTGTGCTGGATCCTGCGAGGGAACTCAATGTGAGTGAACTCATTACCCAAGAGTTCTGGCCTCAGGAAGCCCTGGAAATTTCACAGAAAATCGGATAGTTTACATCAAACTGGAATAAGAAAAAGACTGGCTGGTCACGACTCAATGTTTTATCTAAAACAGGCAATAGGATTGCGAGTGTGACAGCAGGCTCTCATTGCACATAAGCAGCAAACGCATTTAGCAGCAAACGCCACCCACACACGCTATGACTCAGAACTACACACAGCTGCTAAAACAGGCAACCGTGAACATCCGTTTATTCGAGTGCGAAACAGGAGTTAACGTGTGATTTCTCATCTTTACCCTCTTAACTCTACAGGTTTCTAAACTCACAGGAAAATATTCTGTAAATTCATGTGAATGCTGCTAAACCTGAAACTTCTTAATCATGTATAGTTTGTGAGAGAGAGAGAGCATACCAGATACTGCAGCCGCTGTCTCTCAGACTCCGGTGTGAATTCATTAGTCATGGGAATGACTTCATTATTTCGTATGATTATGGCCCTGCAGAGACAAACAAAAGGGAGAATGAGGACCAGGATGACATAACAAGGCCAGTTTGCCAGAGATATGTAAGAAAAATATTCAATGTATTTATTGAAGCCTAAGAAGAAGGTGAAATTATGGAAACAAATAACATTCTTCTCACCTGCTATCCCCAGCATTGGCTACGTAGAGTTTTCCCATTAAATGAATGGCGGTTAAGGCACAGCAGCCACCAGAAATGGCATACGAAGCTTTCTCCTTTTCAATAAGGTCATCCTGAAATAGGAGGGGAAAACAAATCAACTAACAGCTCAGTATTTTTCTTCATACAATACTGAAGCAGTTCTAATAAGTATAGAGATGGAAAGGTCTGAGGCCAAACGGTGGGATGCTTGTTCGCAGTATCACGAACATCAGACAGCAAAAAATGCATTAGCAACTCATTAAGGATTTAAATTTATAAAAGATGCATCAAAAACATAGTTTAGCAGGTCCAAAGGCAACCAGGTTCAACATATCTACGTGTTCTGTATTATTTGTTGATATATTTAAATATTTGTCAATTTACATAAAACACAAAGTAACACATGAGACTAAAGGATATATTTCCCGAGATATCTGGTCACAAATATCCTGATCTGATCCCTGAATTATAACTAAATGAGTAAAGAGTTAGAAATATAACCAAAGTAATGAAAAAATGAACTCTGTTTCTCTCTCTAGTTGAGAACATTATGTTCACCTTTGTCTGCAGACGTTAATATGTTCTAATGATAAGTACCAATGTCAAACTTGATGAACGATGAAACTACAGAAAGGCAAAGTTTTTATGGCACCTGATCCTAAATTTGTAATGACATGCTACTAAAAGTCAGATTTGTAAAGCCTGTAATCAGTCTAAGCTTCGACAAAAGAAGCTGACCTAATCCCTTAAACTCAACAAACATCTACATTACATCTTAATATCCATCGAGTGGTGAGTGATCGGCCAAGTCACACGCATAAAACAATATCTAAAACAGAAACACAAAAAAGTTCAGTCTGTGTTATCCTGCTGAGACCTCAAAGGAAATGTGGGTGTTAAAGACAAAAATGAAATCGGAATGCCCGGTTCAGGTTGAAACACTCTCTTCTGCTCACCATCTGTTTGAAGGCGGTCTCTATGACTCCCATCACCAGGCTCTCCAGACTAACGATCTTCTCCATGTGAAAACGCACAGAGGCGTCGCAGACTGCGTCGGGGTCTTCCGGTTCCTGTTGGCCTCCCTTCTTCGCATCCGCCTGGTACGGGCTGCCGTTCTTGGCTAAGCAGATGGGAGGTGTGCTGCTGGGGTTCTCGAGGAGGTGGCAGATCTCCCCGAGCCGGTCTCTGATGAGGCGGTGCATTAGCTTGGAGGCCATGATGGCCGCGCCGGAACCTGCATGGCCATCGAACACCCCCCAGAAGTAGATGGGGATTCCTGTGCCATCCTGCCATGGAAATTGAGTATATGAAATGCATTAGATAATCTGGTAAATGCCAAAAAGTGAAAAAAACAAGAGCAACAATTAATCTGAATCATCATTTTTGGGGAGTTTGCTTTCAACAGCTTTAGTATGTATTAGTTTGACTTGGAAATCATTTATAAAGAGATGCCACAGCTTTCAAATTCTACAATAGAGCATAAAAAGAACAAAAAAACTGTGTTTACCCATGCTGCTAGGTGATATCTGAGTGTGATCTAATGGAGAAGCCTTTTTCTTTACTGCTTTCATTTGATCGATGGAGAGGCGTTCCTACTTTTGTCTTTTAGGGATATTTACGAGCCGAATTATCCTGGATGACTAATGGCTGAACAGGCCTCAAACATCTGGTCAAGCCACAGACACTACACTCCAGATGGGGGAAGGGCGCAACGAAGGATGATGGCATTCATTTTCACTAAATGGAGGGTGTGAACGTGTGTGTGTGCCCAGTCGATCAGGATGCGTTAGACCCAAATGGATACACAGGCAGGAAAACAGGATAAGGACCACAGTCACTACGATGAACCAGTCTGCGATTAATATATGCATTTTCATACAAACTAATCCCATAAAAGGAAATTTATTGACATCTGGGATAAGAGAAGTTGCAAACACAGCGTTGAATATCACTGAGAACTGTTTGACAATAATATCAACTTTCATTTCCTTCCCTAAAAACTGCTTTTTGATGGGGTTGGTCTTTCGAGATGGATTGGATTTCAATGTTACCGCTTCCATCAGGGCGTAGAAGCAGATTCAGCAAAAAGGTGCACACCGGAGAGCAAAACACAATCTGTATGTTCCCAAACACTCCCTAACTGTAAGCGTCTGCATTTCTGAGCTGGACAGGAACAACAGTTTTCACCCACTGCAGCCTGTTGTTGTAAAATGAGTGCTGATGAAAGCACAGAGGAAGGAGTAAAAATATTCAGATTTGTGTTGAGACTCAAAAACAATCATCCGAAATATTTTAAATGTTGCGTAGAGCCAAGAAAAAGTAACGTCGTCATTAGTTAAAAGTGTACAACGACTATAACAAATGACAAATCAAATAAAAGGAAAGGTGATGAAAATCAGGAATTTGTGAGACAAATATAGAGTTGCATAAGGACTATAATCACATTTTTTTATTCCCGTTTTGAACACATTTAGCCTGTCTTATAAGACTGACTTTCCATGTGATGTGTTGCTAGACAAAGTGTGGCTTTCGGGGAACAGCATGCAAATATGTCTGTTGTAAAGTTAGCTTTCTGGGTCCTTAGCTAAATTAAATGTAAAGCAGGTACACAATAACTCCTGTTATAATGTGCCCTCAGAGTTAACAGAAATTGAGGAAACACAATAATGGTTCAGCTGAATCTGAATCCTTTACTGTAATTTGGCAGCAAAGGTTTAATATTCGGAATACAGTAAATTGAATTTTAAGTACGGCACCTAGAATATTGTATCTTCTTTTTATCGAGTAAAGACTGCAATATACCCTTAAAGATAACTTGATTTAATATTTTTCATTACAAAAATGTAATGAAAATATCCTGAAAAATGACTTTTTTTTCCAACCTTCTACTTTCCCTGAACATGTTTTGTTCCTTAAGTATTTCTCTTTTAAGTATTTCTCCGGCACATAAAAAGAATCCACTTTAAGCCGAACAACTGAAGGAGAATCTTTTTATCTCTAGATATTCACATCCCATGTGTCAGCTACCTCGCTATATTGCATGCACAGATAGCGTGACGGAGTTCAATTGCAGGGATGCACTTTGGGATAAATAATGATCTTAATACCTCTCAGTGAAATTCCCCTCAGACATGTTTAGAGCAATAAGTGCGCTAACGTCAGACTGAAAAACATTATTAGTGATTACTTACTGCAAGCCTCTCACCGGACATTTCATCCCTCATTCCCTGTGTGTGTTTTTTTCATTTATTTTTTTATTTTTTGCTCTTGGCTTACCCCGTTGTCCTCGAGCAGAGTGGAGTTCCTGTGTTTACCACTTGGCCTCCTCACAAACAGTTTCTCACAGGAGGCCTGGTCCTCGTTCAGCATGCTCTTCCCCGCATTGATCACCCTGACAGAAACAGACAGGGGGGAGGAAAGGTGAGCCAGTCTGCAGTCTGATGACTTATAATGTTTACTCTGGGCGCTCTAACCGCATGAAAACACAATAGAGGCCAGAAAAATGGAATGAGAAGCAAAGGGTGAGGTAGAAAAAGTAGGGCAGGATGCAGTCATGTCCCAGGGGGAAGTTGCAGGAGGGATTAAGTGTTTTTATTATGACTGTGGAGGATAATAGCTTTAGAGTAATGCACTGTATCATACTCAAGCAGCAGCATCGTCTGTCCTGGTGTGTGTTGCAACAGCATTGGCTGAGACTACCGGTATAGTGCAGTGTAGAGCGTGTTTGAAATGTTTACGCTCAGATGATTTCATCAGACATTTAGTTTGACCACACAAGAATTTCAGCATCCGCGAGTTCCAGAGATCAGGTCGAACATTGTGAGCGCATTGCAGCAGAGTTCACTTTTAAGGAAGTTAAACAGCTCTTATCTTCACTGAGAATTAGTAAGCAGACTCTGCACACAACCGACTTGTTAAGTTGATGCTTGTGTCACTGCACAGCTATTCACACCAGTCATAAAGTAAGTCTGATCATTGATTTTTTTGGAACAAGCTTCAAATACGACACAGACATGGAATCATTAAGTTGTTCAAACCCATTAGCAAACAGTTCCATAATTACAGAGCCAGCAAACATGAAGCACATTTGTGCTCAAGAGAAGTTCTGGTCCTGGCTTCTTGACAAATCTGAGTTCAAAATTCAATCTTCCAGCAGATTCAAAGGGAACTATCTGATTCTGAAGCTACAGGTATTTGAACATGACATCATTATGCCCTGCCATTTCTCTTAATATAAAAAAACAATGGTAACAGCTGCTTTAACGTCACCATCAGCAAAGTTTTAAGACTCTTATTGTTGGGTATCATAATGAGGCAACTAAAACGCCGGTGGCTGTCTAGAGGAGGCCTTAATTACATTTAAAATGTACAAGCATAACACCTAAATGTGTTTGTTTAGTGGTGCAACAGAAGAAAAAAAGAAAGGCATGGTCAAGCTGACACGGAAGGCTGACAAATATGTAACCTGTTCCTTTTAATTTAGAGGCAAATTACACTTCCGTTAAGATAACAGAAAGGCTTTGAAGCAATACCGGTAACATACATAAAGTTGCCCAAGAAATGTCTGCAGAGCATGTGTAAGAAGTCTAGAAAAACCTAGAGAAGCAGACGTTCAAGCAATCATTACTTTTAAAAACAAAATGGTATCGAAAATAAAAGAGGACAAACTCAACAGTCACGTGAGAAAATCTGAACTCAAGATAATGAACATAATTCAGCTGATTGCGCTCATTATAGAAAATGGACGCTGGTAGGTAAGAAGCTTCGATGCCAGCATTACAAGCACTGCGCAAGGTTAAAAACGCAGCGGCTGCCTAAATCTGGATTATAAAAAGCCCTTTTTCTCTTTCCATTCGGCTGAGAGGAGCGGACAGCCACCGCAGTGTCCCGCACGGAGCTGAGTGCATTAGGACTAATGACCGAGAAGAATGTCAAATCACCTGATTGTGGTCTACACTTTCTACCGGGGTCAGGACATTTCCAGAGATGTGGACACACGACTGGATGTGATCACAGCAAATTCACAAGCGCTCCTTTTTTTTTGGTTCACTCCTACTACCCTACTCATTGCTTACTTTTCTATACCATTAGTCAGTCTTTAGCCAACAGCTTGGTTATTTTCTTCTTTTTTTTTGTCGAGGTCATGTGCTATATGGCATGACTGAATGCAGTCAGACAGAAAATGTGTCTTGACACTGTAAGAAAAGCAGGCAGACTGTTCTTGTGTGCTGCTATCACATGGAGCTGTGCAGAAAACTGAGCAGGGGCTGTTCTCTTTTTTTCCATGCATAATGAACTAACAGGCTCACAGTCAAAAGAATCATCTTGTACTGAATGCAGTCACATGAGCGGCAATGGTAAAATACAGTTTTCATGCTTAACAGGGAGCGGAAGGACTCCTATAACTTGACTTAACTCTCTGAGAGCTATCAATGGTCATATGTTTTCACAACCTGTGACTGAAAACTAAACTGGTGGCATTTTGGTGAGGCGGCGCTTCTCTGTTCGAACCCCCCCTGCCGTGCATTATGCAAGGGAAGTTCAAAAGAGGAAGTAAGGAGTTCCAATGAAAAAGTCCTGTTGCTGCTGCTGGGCATTTCACATCACGCGTCCCATGAATCCTTCTCTCTGTTAACGTCATCGCTCAAGTTTGCGGAATCCATTACAACCTCTCGTCTTAGTGAGGCTGTTTTAATTATGTGGATGTAGGATTTAAGGATGTAGTTCCTGTGGTTTAGTCACAGGCAGATCAGTTGTGCTTGTAATCAAGTGAGAAGACACACCTCTGAGATAATCCTCTCAGAGTTATTGTCAATGTGAGATGTGGATATAGCCCCCTAACTGCCCGGCATGCCGGCCTTTTTCCTCTCTGGCGGGATCCGTGTGTAAACTGTTAAAGGCATCCCGTTTAGCTATTTTTTGCCTTGTTGGGAGGTACCACAGCTCACTGCTGAATGGGGCTACTTCAGGTAGAAGTTGGCAGACTGACAGACACTGCAGGCCCCGTTACATAAGATCTTCTGCAGTCCAACAGAGATGTCTCCGGGAAAGAACGTGGAAAAGAGTTTGACTCCCCACTGTTTGAATTTGTTCCAGCACATGAGGAAAACCAAAGCGGACAGATAAGACATGACAAAAACACCACCAGAGTGAAAACAGACACCGGAGCAAATAGGGTTCTGCTAAGAAAATAATTCTGCTTTTATAATTATAACATGCTGCGACCTGCATAATCATTACTATCTAAATTTAAAGAACAATGAGAAAGAAGAAGGGCTTGATTGTATGAGCAGCAAGTGAAGAATCACATCATTATGCAGCTCGTACGTGCTATCTTCATTTTATCTTGGTGTTAATCACCACAAACATCCTCTAAAACAGTCACTTTCAAATCCACACAGCATTTCAACATACAGAACATTGCTCTTAATTTTAAATGGAGGCCTATCACTGATTAACTTATGCTGTTTGTCATGCTAACATGACAAAGACAGACTTTTCCAACAGGTGTATTTGAATATTACTGACAGAATGTGTTCTGTTTTCGTAACTTAGCACAAAGTATAATTTCTTCACTGCCCTCTCTGTTGGAAACAAAAATAAACCAAATGTGAGATTGCAACCATTTGCAGAATTGGAATCAAAGTTTTTAAAATATCCTAAAAATAATCCTTTCAAACGTGAGCCCACAATTCTTTTTAAGAGTGGGAGGCTTTTTTCTGCCATGGCGTCTGGAACATGCTGGATGCTCCCATCCACATTAAATGGAATCCGACAGGCTTTTGACAAGAACTACTTTGAGCAGAGCAGGATGTGCATCAGTGTGCCCATCTCCTTTCTGAGAAACTAATCGAGTACAACTTTGTGTTGCAACGCAGTATCAAGAACGGTCCACGTGAACACGCACAGATTGCCCGTTTGATCACTGTGATTCCAGGAAAAGGAAACGCACTATTAAATCCTCATTACCTCCAGAATGACGGCAAGATGTTAATTAAGTGCTATCAACGAGGAGATGTTGCACAAAGTTTGAACGCGGGCCAGCAGGGCTGCTTCCAACTGGACCGCATCCATCTACTGTGATCATTACATCACAAAGGGGGGGTATTGTATACTACAAATTTTGTTTTGCAGAGATAATTAAAAAAAAACAATCTTATTTCTCTATCGCATTTAGAATCAGTGTATTTTAGGTGTTATAGACTAACTTTTCAGTGCCATTCATCCGCTGGGTTCTGTCTGCTCACTCTGTGACACTTTGAACTCGTATGGCCGCCATTTTTGGGGGATATTTACCATCGTTTTGTTATGCTGTGATATGAACAGCGCTGCTAATGCTGTGATTCCCTCTCACAGACCGACCTCAAGGGAACTTATTGAGAGCATAAATGCATTTCACAGAAAAACTGTGCAAATTCCCAATGAAAAATATCCCTTTTTTTTGCTCCAGCCATCACCAGCTGGGACTATTTCACTCCTCTGAGATGTCACTCAACTCATCCTGGTCCCCCTGGAGACTTTTCTGCATGAGTCACTGCTTTAAAAAAAAAAAAAAAGGTTCATTATAAGTCAGGGAGGGGTGGCACAGTCCCTGTACTGGTGGACTGAGGCTTTTCAGCCACTACAACACCATGCCCTACTGGGAAAGTGCTTTCCACTCCACTTGAATCACCCAAACGGCACATTCTTCCTGCAGCAGTGAGCCAAATGGAGCCTAACCGTTTCTATAGGTATACCTGTCACAGCGCTGCAGGACTAAACGGAATCACCAGCAGGTGAAGCAGGTTCAGAGTTTAGCTCTGCACATTCACCAAAGTGCACGACAGCCAAGCTGACACGCGCATGTTTTCAGGAAACTGACAACATACAGTGTCAACACGGGTGACGGAGCGTGCGTTTCCTGCTTTCGCTTTTGAATAACCATATCCATGATGTGTGTTTAACGCGATCCGAGGTGGAGCCCGTATTCAAATATCATAAATTTCTGGCCGTTTTTTTTTTTTTATCACGGGAGCTGCGATGTCTAATAATTACAGCCGGGCGCCTGCTCCAGTGGCGCACAGCAGCCCGGGGGCGCACAGCTGTACAGCGGCAAAAGGGCCACGACTGACCATCAGCTGGCCGCTGCAGCAATCGAAACGACACAATACCAATGAATGATTTTATTTTTCTCTCCAGATGAGCGAATATCGTTACTGCGCACGCCCCGAGCCACTCACTCTGCGTATCCCGTCCTCCAGGGAAGCCTGCTGCCTCTCTTTAGCGTGAGCACCGGCCGTGACGCGTGCTCCGTGGAGTACTGCAGGAGCTCCTGGGTAAGGTCCAAGAAGTCCGGCCGGCCGTAGGGGAATCGGGGCGGCAGGCTGTCCTGTCCGCAGTTCTGGCCACCACCTGAGTGATGGTTGTGGTGGTGATGGTGTCCGTGCGGCATCATCCCTCCCACCAGGTTGGACATAGCGTTTTTAACTTTGCTGATCATCATCGGGACCGACACTGGGCCAAAAAGATCCTGGACGGGGGAAAGAAAAAAAAGAAAAAAGAAAAAAAACGAAGCACGATGCGGTTCTAAGGGAGAAAGATCCGACGATTCAAAAAGCCAGAGGCGAGGATCATTTCAGGAAGCGATTGTTTTTCCTCCTCGGCCCCATGTGACACCCTTCAGAAAAGCAGACGCGATGTTTTCCTCATTCAAACCGAATAAATCCGCCAGTGACGCTGCGCAGAGGCTGTGTTCAGAGGCGGCTGTGTCTCCTCTCAGAAGGCAGGGCTTCAGAGGGGTGTGCACCAGCACCCAGTCAACATCTCACACCATAGTCCAAATACCAAGCTGCAAACAGAAAGGCACATTCACTTAGCCTACTGTTTAAAGGTAAACCAAAGACAAAGGATAAGACAGTTTTCTATGTTTTGCTAGGCAAATATGTGTATATTTGCCTAGCAAAAGAAATACACAAAAGAAATAGAAATAAAAAGAAATAGCATAATACATCTAGATAGATAGATAGATAGATAGATAGATAGATAGATAGATAGATAGATAGATAGATAGATAGATAGATAGATAGATAGATAGATAGATAGATAGATAGATAGATAGATGTATTATGCTATTTCTTTTTATCTCTATTTCTTTTTTATTTCACAAAAAGAAAGAATTCTGCACTTTAAAGATCAAAGGCACATGACAAATTTCCATCCAGGATGAATAACGACAGAGATTCATCTGCTGGCTTTCTAACAACACTGATCATTCTGCAGCCTGGACAATGGATTTGAAAATAAAACAGTCTGCTGCAAATAATTCATAATTCAGGCCATTTATATATAAACATGTTTAAACTAATAAAGACTAATTCATATCTTATGGTTTCTTATGGTCATCTTTGTCAAAGATAAAATTGCTGCTCTGTCTCCGTCTCCATTTTATAGCAGATATAGAAATAGAACATTTGAAAGTTTCACAGTTATTATAGATTTTTTTGTCTACTGTAAATAGATTGTGTTTGACTACAGCTTTTTTCCTCATTCCATGTATCTGGTTCAACAAGATTATTCATTTGACCCTGCCCATGTCTCCGCCCAGTAGCAGATGTTACTGACTGCTCTGTCTACCATAAATCCATTTACACTACACTATGTTTAGCTCTTCTGATATGAGAAGAATTCAGCCAGAAATCCATAAAGCAGAGAGCAAATCTAAGACGAAGAAGCTAAATAAACGTTCACAAAAAGTAAATGTAGTTTTATTATTGTGTCGACTTCTTAAAGCACTGAGCAGTGTCAGAAGGGTGAACATTAAATCTCTATTGCATTCTACAGTGTGAGTTTTGGCTTTTCTGCTTGGATAAGACTACTTTGCTTGTAGCATTGTTCCCCTCAAGCTGTCACCTGTTCCAACTTTTTCTCTTGCCTGCACTGAACTGAACCCTCACAGAGCTGTATGTTTTCAGGGAAATCTTTGCTTCTGGTTTGTACATGAGATAACTTCTGTCTTACTTCTCCTTTCCAAGACTGCAGGTTGGTAACTGGATACAGCAGTATTCACGTTGGATTTAACTTAAAATGTGCATCGTCACAACTTCATTATTAGCTTAGGTGGACTTATCCTCACATAATTATGTTATTTACAATAAACTGTGAAAGAAAAGAAACTGTTTCTGTTGCCGTTCAGTAAAAAGTACACCCTGGAGGCCTTTCATTGCAATGAGATAATCATTGTACCTAAAGAAGATTTCAGCTTCTTTGTCAATAAGGAGAAGTCCTGAATGAGTAGTTGTTTTTTGCAGGGATTGGAGTTTTTTCCCCTCCATAGAACATTGACCTCTGGGGCAAATGGATTAAAGTCCAATGCTAAGAAACTACGAAGTGTTCCTTTAAGTCCGGTGCTGCCAAAAGCCTCCCTTATCTCTGTTACATTGCTTATTTTGCCTGTCAGCTGTGCGATCAACAAGGGGTCGTTTAAAATTTGAGTCATCTTCTCCTAAGACACAGACATTTCTGCTGAGAAAAATACACCACAACACAGGTTATAGTGGAAGAACATCCAACACATGCAGAGGGATGGCTTTTTCACACTTTCCTGCGTAATGTCGCAGCTTTTCCAGCTGTTGAAGCTCTTTGCCATTAGAAACCCCTAATCCTCCCAAAACAGAAAGCTCTGCCATGCATGAGCAGTCAAAATGACGGCAAAGCTCGCCGAGCCACCGTCGTGTTGGCGGGACTTTTGGGACATGGTGCCCAGCACTAAGATGATAAGAGCATCAATAAACCGAGCTTAGCAGGCAGCATGACATTATTAAGGAATTCTTTTTTCAATCTGCGAGGCAAAGAAAGCTACCCTACGAAACAAAGCTGGAGATAACACACAATATTCACAGTATTTCAGCAATGTTTGACAAAGCAATTAAAACTGTCTGGTGTGAAAAATCTGAGTTAAACTGGAAGGAAAACAAAGCCCAGATTTGGAAAGGAGACACAAATGTCTACTGCAAAATGATGCCTTTATGAGAAAAAGGGTGCATAACAATCATATTTCACCATATTCCTGGCACTAAAATACAGGGTAAAAGAGCACAAATGAGCAAGAGCTCCTGTTTGGATCGAACTTTTGAAGGAAGGCACGTCTAATGGGCCACGAGAAGTGGCCGGTAATTGTGTTACAGCAGTCACAGTCCGTCTTTCAGCTGCTGAACCACCGCAGCAGATTGGCTGCAATGTTGCTCTCAAAACTGAGTGTCCTCAAACCATGTATTCTTTGACCCATTTCTGCTTGTTCCTGACGGCACATCCTGTTACCTCCTTCAAAGGTTTTCACACCTAATCCAAGGTTGACTAATTGATTTTTTTGTGGTGCCCTCACTGTTTCCTCATGTGTTCAGGTTCAAATTCTACAAAATGGCGTCTGTTTTTTTATAATTGAGATCAGCAGATTTTTTCATTTGGAAAAACACATGCAATTACAAATAAGTATATACGTGCTTGTTTTAAATCTCAGGTAGTCTTACTGGGCAGCAATGATACACCTCAATTCTTTATTACTATGTGTTAAACAACCACTGCCGTCAATTTAGTTTAGTTACTAAAGATTTAAAACACCTTGAACTCAGATTCTTTTTAATTTTTTTACTTTTGAAAGACAGTGTGAAGTCAAAGTCATTGCTCCATCCAAAATGGGCAGAGCTGGAAGGTGACAGTGAGACCAGCCCAATAAATAATGGCCGATGGGGAGGGAAAAGGCTGGACTTAAGTGTCTGTTAAAGCTGTTTTTGTTGCTGAGGCAGTTGGTCACCCTCAGGCCCGCAGTGAGGACCTCACGGACAGGGAGCGGTTTGCACATCTTCATCCGGACCAATAGATGGAGCCAAAGGTTCACAAAGGAGAAAGGCTCTGGAAAAATGGGCGCTATGGTGTTTAAGAAGCTTGTTGGGATAATTGATTATTCATGTTTGCTGGTAGTTTTGTACATATCCAGATTTTGATGTCTCAGTTGGAAAAATGTGTCTGTGTGATAAAACAAAAAAAAGCTCTTTCCATCTTTTTGTGACTTGTTTTCGTGATCACATCTGTTGTGCTGCAAGCCATCAGCAACATTACATGCTGGCAAGTGTTGAAAGAAAATGAGATGATTTCCTTTGCCTCGAAGCGCATCCCCGCACTTTTGGTTTTTACTTCCTCTCCCTAAGATAAAGTACTCTCACCACTCTGTACCAGCGGATGAAGATTTAATCTCCTTCCTGACGAATGACCCTTCTGCCTCTCTGACAGGGGGCGCTGAGGCAGGCCGCACTGAACACATCAGAAACATTGAAATGATTGGAGAATTTGTTATGGTACTTCCTCTAGCTCTGTGTGTATGTTTATGAGTTCATGGAAGGGCCGCACGCTGGATGTAGTTAGAAAAATATCTGTGGAAACTGAGACATTTGATAAATGATGCAGATAGGAAAAAAAAAGATCAAAGCAAAGTCTGGATTTATATTTCATTGTGAGTCAAAAGAAACACATTGTAGTCAGATTAACACCATATCAACTTGTCATCTGCACGCCTTTTGTTCCTCTCTGATGTTTGGCTCAGAACTGAAGAAAAAACAACTCTTGTGAGGCGCTGCTCTCAGGTTGACATCAAAGAAAGAAAGCTTCAATTTATTACTACAATGTGCTGTTTTTATTTGATCTTAAGCGACAAAAATAATGACGTTTTCTTTTTGTATAACTTCATTGCAATTATTTTACCAAGATACATTATCATCCGCTCATTAAAACAACCTAAAATATTTTGAGGAAAAATATGGATCTATTTATTGCATCACGTCAATTTTGCCACTTTGTTCTGTTGTATATAATTTCTTAGAAAGCTTTATGACAATAATTAAGGTCGGAGAATCAAACTGGGGAACCAAGGAGCTTCAAATAAACTTTAGTTTAATAACCAGCCAAATACAATGCCGGATTACAAAGCTAAAACTAAACTTTAGAAGAAAAAAAAAAGACAGAAAACAGAGAGCATCGATATGAGGGGTTTAAACACCAAGAAAAACTCAACCTGGAAACACACCAAAAATAATAAAAAATAAAAAGATATTTCTGCCCTTTTACTTAAAAACTGCACTTTCAATGCAGTCCTCTTATAAAAGAAGACTTTGCTTATGTATTTTTTTTCCTTTTCATGTTTCCATTTTTTGTAGATATATTTCACTAATGCAAAATTTTGAGATAAAAAAAAGACCAGTATAGGGGAAACCTTCTTTTTCATGTTGAATTTGATCACTTCACTTCTATTCTGGGTTATTTCTATTGCATAGGACTGCCTACTACTACCAAATTGAGCTCATATGTTATAAGTTTATGTGGGCATTACTTCCTCCTCTGAAGATGCAGCCCTCTGCAGTTGGACTGAGAGCGTTGGTGAAGTTGGAAACTCCATTATCCGAGGTCCCTGCTGAAAACCCATTAAAGGCTCTGCAGTCTGGATTGAGGTCGAGAGAAAGACCTGGCCGTGCAACCGCACACAAAGCCATAAAGCCCGCTCCGGCGGCCTCTCATCGAGCGTCTGACGCTGAGGAA